AGAGACAGAGACAGAGACAGAGAGACAAAGACAGAGGCAGAAACAGAGACAGAAAGACAAAGACAGAGGCAGAAACAGAGACAGAGAGACAGAGACAGAGAGAGACAGAGACAGAGACAAATGTGTCAAAAGCCTTTGGGGATGTCTCTCCTCCCCTCCTCTTCCTTCATCCTCTCCATTGTTTTCTCTTTTCTTCTCCTTTCTTTTTCTCCCTTTTTCTCTCCTGTAGCCTAATCTGCCAAGTCTTGTAATCTACCAATGTGATAATCTAGGGTAGCTCCATTATATTTACATTTAAATTTCAATGTGAACAACTGCTAACATTCTGCCCAATAGCACTGCCAGCGAAGTGCCTGGTGTCTCTCTTTCTCTCCTCTGGATCCTCCTACACTCAGAGCCAGTCCATCCAAGGGACTCCTCTTAAGATGATGAGACATTAGTGAAACATCAGTGGCCAAGATTCCCAAAGATTCCCTAGTGCAGAAAGCAATGGAGTTTATATCTGAGGAATAGTCTCAGGTAAGCCATGTCAAGATCTGAAAGAGCTATCACTGTGGCCCCTCGCATAGGTTAAGAAAGACGCCCCAGTTAGACAGATGCAATCAGGTCACCCGAGCTGCGCACACCTAAGGAAATAGAGCTTGGGTGACAAGGTAGTCCTTTATTCTGGTGTATGAAGCAGAGAATACAGCTCCTCACTGAAGCGTTGGGTAAATACTATCTCCACTCTGCCTTTCTGAGGTGCTCAATCTGCACAGTGGTAGCCAGGCACCCAACCAGCTAAGCTACCATCAACAAAAGAGTCACTGTGAATCTGGGTCTCTATGTGTTGGGGGTGGACGTCTTACCACAGAGAAGAAACTAAGCAGTGATGATGCAGGAGGCTATTCAGACACCTATTAGCAGTTTATTCTCACATACCAATATTTAACTGAAATCATCTTAAGAGGAGTCCCTTGGATGAATTGGCTTTGAGTGTAGGAGGATCCAGGTGGAAGGGATGGACGTTCTCGGAGTACAGACTGGGGCTTCTAGGATCCTCAGGGAGGGCGGCTGTTCTGTGCTGTGGTGAGGTGTTTTAGGGGCAAGGGAAGCTTTTCCAGCAGCATAAATAGAAAATAACAGCAGCAAAAGCTTGACCATTTCATCTAGCAGAGGAGATCCCACACCAAGTTAACCAAGAGTTTTCTAGAAACAGCTTCTCTTTCAGATTTTGACGTGGCTTACCTGAGACTATCCCTCCAATATTAACTCTGTTGCTTTCTACACTGGGGAATCTTTGGGAATCTTGGCCACTGATGTTTCAAAATTACCAGTCAGGATCTTCCTTGAAGGTTAGTTCAGGTCTTTATTTGTCTGGCTATGTTAAAAAGTAAAATATCTAAACTACATAACGTTGTAGAATAATTACTTATCTTTAAATAAGAAAAAAGGCACTTTTTGATCTCTTAACATGCATGCGTTTATTACGTGTCAGTAGATACCTCAGAGCTCCTTCTTTCTGTGCGATGGGGCAGCATCTGTTTTCAGTATATTTCTATCTGGGCTCTTGCCCAAAAATGGATTCCACTTTAATCCTCGACCATACTAGTAGATGCCAAGAACGAACTCCTCAGGAATTGTGGGCTGAGGACAGGGAACTTCTGATGAAGTAGCACTTGCAAATCCCAAGCACCAGCTGTTCATTAAAATGCCAGGTATCCAAAAGGCTACCTTGAAAAATTAAAGTGCTGCTTTCTTGTCCTAAGTGGAGTCATAAAATTAACTGTTTAGAAAATTAGAACTATTTAAATAGTTTTGAACCACAAAAGTGGCACAGCGCAGGGTTCCCCTGAGTCATCTAAGCACAAGAGCCACCCTCCCACGTCTCACTGCCCTTCTGCATTCCTAGTCACTGACCCATCGGCTGTCGCCATCCTAGGAACACCGCAGGTCACAGGTGCCTAGCAGATGAAGCCCTTGACATTTATGAACTAAAATACATGTTCAGTACTCAACGCTTACACTGAGGAGTGTCACTTCTTAGGAGAGAAGTTCCAGCTCTGTGAAATGTCTTTCTTTATTTTTCTGTTGGGAAAAATAATGATGAAAATGTGATTTTTCTAATACCTTCTGCATCCTGGACAAGCTCCTTAATGAATTCTCCTAAGGACTTCGCTCTCGTGCTCGTCCTTTCGGCGTCCTGTCCAGTTTGCTCGCCATCTGCTGTCACTTTGGTGGCCTAATGATCCAAATTTGGGAAAAGCATAATTAATAGAGATGATGAAGCTACGGCTCTACAAGCTCCCTCTGGCTAAATTTTCTTTCAGATTTCCCTTTGAGCCAAAAGCAATCAATGAATTATTGATCAGATGTACTGGATATGACACCCCATGCTCAAGTATACAATTAAACTTTATTACTTCTTCCATTAAATGTAAATCAGAGAGCTGTATTTGGTCCTCTTAAACTCCTTGTTCTTTGCAATAGCACAGAAGAAGTGATAAAGCACAATTATTTTTGAAATCTCTTTAAGGTACTATTGCCAGAAGTCTTTAATGAAATCTTCTGCCTCCACATGTTGCAGTCTTGCCCATATTTTTTCTTCTCCTGCAAACATGTGGAGTGCAGCAATACTCTCTAGTGGGAGGGACAGGCAGTCTGCCTCAATGAGCCTGGTCCTATAGGTTCAGTATTGATCAATACATTAATTAAAGAAACAAAGAAGAGGAAGGGCATGTATACTCAGTAGTAAATGCTTGTTTTATAACATGTCAAAGATGCCAATAAAACATTAAAGGAAAACAAATGCTAACATTCCCATCTAATATCACCAGAAATATGCCCATTAGTCACTGAGCATGTACCTGTGTCAACAAAATAAAACAGAATATCCAAACAGCTTCACTTTCCAAGGAAAATCCTCATAGCCATGTCTGTTCCTGTTGAAAGTACAATGCATTTGTGTGTTCATAGCTAAGAGACAGGATAGTTAAGCACAAATGGTGTGTGTAATGTTATGCTTTTTAAAAGATTCTGCAAGATTTAGAGGATGTAAACATAGGTGTGCTTACATATGTCAACCATAGGACTTCTCTTTTATCCAAAGATTGGGGATAATGAAACTGCCTCAATACAATTCTCTAGGAGGTCCAAGTTGGCAGTATATTAATACACTACACTCTTGCAGCAGAATATTTTCTTTCTTGATGTGACCAGGGAATTAATTTTTGTATATCTGCATAAGTGGATTTTAAATAGAGCTGATTGGCTAGCACAGAATGTGGTAAGAGTTGCTAAAGGAACAGCTCTCTCTATGTGTTGTGATTTCCCAGGGGGCATCAAATGGTTTAATTCATTAAAGTTTTCCAGATTTTTAAATAAGGGGCACAATAAAGTTCAACTATTGTCAGCCTTCCAGTGCTAACATGACAAAGAAAATGTTCTACGGAGAAGGAGCCTTTGAAAAAGAGTCTTAAAATTTCTCTTTATGGGCTGTGGAGATAGCCTGGTGGTCTAAGCAGCTGCATATGCAAGTGTAGGGACCTGGGTTTGATTCCCGGCACCACATGCCATGGAGGCCCCACCCCAGACACACAGTGCCAGTCCGAGCTGCATAGTGAGACCCTGTACCAAATGCATAAACAACAACAACAATTCCTCTTTACAGTTTATTGTACATACACAGTGATTTAGAGAATATTAACCAATATTAACCAATATTTTCTAATATTAGAGAATATAATCAATCAATGTTTTAGATGCACATCTAAAATATTACTGATAGGATTATTTTAATTTTTAAACTTTTAAAAATTCATTTTGGAAGTAAAGTGTGCATGCTTTTCTCTTTGTATACATATATTCATGACCCAGATTGATCAAATAGCTTTATAGGCACACACACACACACACACACACACACACACACACTTAAAATATAGTTTGTTTTTTAAGCTTTACTTTTTAATAACTGACTTTAACTGCCTTAAGATGTTGTCACTGTGAAATGACTTCAGTATGTCTTTAGCCAAATCTTTAGTGTACTCTCTGATATGATTCTTATTTTCACCTACTATGGGATATTGTCTGCCATAAGGAAGTTGGTGTATAATATGGTCATCCTCCCATATCTTAGAAATTAATAGGTCACCAGCACCAGTAATCTTACTATACAGAAAACAAATATCATAATTTGAACATAAATGTTATGTCTTGCTTTATTAATACCTTTTCTATATTCTGAAGTGATCATTATTTATGTAAACAATGACAATATCAAGCTTTTCAACTTTTACTAATAGCACAAAACATCTTTTTTTTTTCTAAAAATAGCTATATAGCATAGATCATCTAACATATTGTCTCTTCCATTACACATTATCAGGATCATATTCATGATCCTGTCTGCTCCTCTAGTATTTATGTGGTGATGGGAAAAGGTTAACATTAACAAACATTTTACTCCTAGAACCAATTATGTGAATACTCCATTATTAAGATGTCAGGAATCCTGCAACATACAGTATGAAAAAGAAAAGGTGCATTCATCAACTCCTCTGGGCCTTTTTTTTTTTCTTTGATGGTACATTAAACATGCCAAGCTCGCCCCTTCTTAGGGCTTTTCTTTTGTACCTTGCGATCATTTTCTGGAACAACTTTCCCCTTCACACTTCCAGGTATGTGACTTTTATCCCCCTTCAGCTTTCAACTGAGGTCTCTCCTTAGTACGACTTCACCTGAGTTTCCTTCCGTGTCTCCACATCCACTGCGCCAGCACATTTCCATCAGCACTTGAAAAATCACTGAAGTCAATGACTTATTCCTTAAAACTAAGTAAGTGATCACCTAATTTCTCAATTTATACGTGCCACCATCAGGAATAAAAAACGAAAACTACAGACTCCTGGGACTACCTCCCCAGCCAAAGGCGAACTTTCAGAGGGCAAGCGGTTGTTCTGCTTCGTGGTCATCATATATGCTTCTCCTTGCATGATGCCTAACTGACAGCAAATCGTCTTTACATGTGGTCAACCAGATGACCAGACAATAGGTTTCCTAATAAATACTGTCTGCCTCAATGCTCTTCTTGGCTATTGTTTTTTCTTAGAAAAAAGATTCTGCTTATATTATTCATTCTTAACTTCACTTGTCCAAAATAAAGTCAGCTTTTGAGATTCAGGCAACTCCACCTTCTCTGGGAAGCCATCCCTGCCTGCCCTAGCACACGCTCTGCTCTCTTAGATTCACGTTATCATTAACAGGACTGCGATGGGCTGTGTCTGTTTTGCTGTAATTACCTCATCTCTATCCTTGGAGCCTGTGACTACATCTTATCTCTTTTTATTCCTCAGAGTGCCCTGCACAGTGCTTGGCAAATTGGAGGGGATCAGAGATATTGGGTAATTGGCTGATATAATGACAATTAAACCAACTCTTCCTTTGAAGTTCCAAACCTTGCTGGAGGATTCCCAGCACCGTTCAAATAGACCATATGCCTGGTGCTGTGCTCGCCAACAAATGTGGATTGTTGAGTGGTTTTCTGAGCTTTCCTCAGACCTTCACAGGAAACTACTGTTCAAGAGCTTCAGCTGAGTGCTTGGGAGGACAGCTGGGCACAAGATCTCCAGGCCCAGCAGGGCTGCATTCTAGTGACTGGCCTAACAGTAATTCAAAACAGGTCTGGGATTGCACACCAAGTTCCAAGACTTTGAAGACAGGAGACAGGGAAGGTGGCCAGACTCCTTCAGAGCCAGCACTGGGCTTATGAAGGAGCATCCACTTCCTGTGCTCGGACAAAAATTTCCTCTCTTGGCTCCACTCTTGGCTCCACTCCAGGAAGAGCTGTGAGTTTCCTGGCACCAATAGCACTGGCTTATGTGGCTCAGAACTCCAGAAATGGGTGACAGACCTGACTGCATCTGGTTGGCTCCTCATCCAAGAAGGGTTTGCAACACTACCTTGGATCTCATTTGCCCTTTTTGCCTTCAGAGATTGATGGAGGGTGTGAAAGGGAAGGGATGGGAAAGTTAAGTGACTTACATGATTTCTTATATAAGGAAGGGGGAATGAACACGAGTTCACTGCCTTATAGTTTTGGCTTGTTTATACCAAATACTACTTCATTTGCACCAAACACGATTGAAAACTAGGATAGTACATAAAATGAAGAGGACATTTTTCCATGGAGTGCATTGAGTGTAATATAAACTTTGGCTTTTAGGAAACTAAGACTTTTCAGAGCCCATAACAGAACCTTATTTAGGTATGTTTTTGGAAATTGGGTCTTTTTCTACAGTAGTCAGGCAGCACAGTCACTTGTGTCACAACCACCCACACCAGACTCCATACACTGGGAATCGGGAGACGCACTCCGTTGCGGAGGGCTGTCGGGATGGTGCAAGGCTGCCCCCAGTGCGCCACCACTGACCCACGGGGAGCGGAGGACAGAAGCAGTTTTATGGTGGTGTCCTCACAAAAGTGAAATTTGTGAAAACCAAGCCGCCCTAGGACGGGGATGGCTACCAGTAGAGGTGAACGCTGAACACAGCTAGAGAGGAGGTCACTGTGGTCCAGCTGGGCTTTTCCCGTTTTAGGAAATGAGTTTCCCCGTCTTCATCACCCATCCTCTCGCCCTCACCTGTCCTTTGAATGGCTGACAAGTACATTCTCATTAACTCAAACCTTGGTCCAGTCTTTCCTTCATTCTCTTTGATTTTCTTGTTTTTATATCTATCTTTCCAACATTGCTTTGTGGATGATGCCTTGTGTCGTAGCTTATGTTCCTTTCTACCACCTCTGATTATCTATTCTCATTAATGTGCAATTTGCTCCATTATATTTTTTTTCTTTTTCTCTGAGTTTTTGATTTTTAAGATATTTACATGAGGGCAGCATGCGTGGCCTTTGGGTCTACATTAATTTCTTTTGGAGAAATGTGTCTATTCCTCTCTGGCTTTAGTTCAGGCAGCTCTCGCTGAGCCTTTTGAGATCCGCATGTAATTTTCTTGGTGGGATGTTACCAGTGTCTTTTATTTTCTGCCTTCTTTATGTTAAAACTAGAGTCTAATGGAGCAGATCTAACTGCCGAATGGAAACGTTGCTTGAATGTGTCCGCCTTCCCGTTTGCAGGCTCATACGGTTTCCTGCCAAAATTAAATGTCAGACCTAATCATGCAGAAGATGTCCTCAGGGTCATCCTCAGACCCCATCAGTCCTGGACGCCTAAGTGGTGGGGAAGCA